CGATGCGCGCAAACCCGCGTTGAACGGCCTTACCTTCCACTGCCAGCCGGGAACCACCACCGCTTTGGTTGGTGAGTCTGGCGGAGGTAAGTCCACTGTCTTCCGCCTCTTGTTCAGGTTCTACAACTCCGGGAATGGACGTATCCGTATCGACGGGCATGATGTACAGGATATCACGATCGATTCAGTCCGACAGCACATTGGCGTGGTCCCTCAGGATACTGTGCTTTTCAACGAGACTTTGATGTACAACTTGAAGTACGCCAATCAAGACGCTTCCGATGAAGATGTTTACGAAGCTTGCCGCGCCGCCAGCATTCACGACAAGATTCTTGCTTTCCCCGATGGCTACAACACCAAGGTTGGAGAACGTGGCCTACGGCTTAGCGGCGGCGAGAAGCAACGTGTGGCTATCGCCCGCACCATCATTAAGAACCCGCGCATCATTCTCTTAGATGAGGCAACCGCAGCTCTAGACACAGATACCGAGGAGCATATCCAGAGGGCGCTCTCTACTCTTTCACAAGGTCGCACCATGCTGGTAATCGCTCACCGTCTCAGCACCATCACTACCGCAGATCGCATCTTGGTCTTGTCAGAGGGTCAAGTGGCTGAAAGCGGCACGCATGAAGAGCTTCTAGCTCTGAAGGGTCGATATGCCAGTATGTGGCGCAAGCAGATCCGCGCCCAAAAGGCCGCAGCAGAAGCCCAGGTTCTTCAAGACCGGGCCGAGCGAATTCGCACTGCAACCACCAGCGATGACAGCTCCAGTCAATCGGATGAAGACCGCAAGGTTGTCGGCCGCCGAAACAACTAAATCAATAATGCCTGAACCGCTAAAATAGGGACAGGGAATGACTCTTGTTTAACTTTCAACATGTGCATACGCTTTTTCATATTCTTACAAGAAAAGTACCCAGGGGCAGTAATGATCGGAGGCAGCATGAGATCAAGTTTGATGTTTCATCTTGAGGGGTGACAGCCTCTCTTTTTTCCTTGCTCATTTCTCGTTTTTCGGTTCGGTCGTTCTTCCAGGTATCGTTTTCTTTCTTTCCTTTTCTCTCTGCTTTTGTTGGCGTTTTGGGTCTACGACGCGCACGATGTTATCGTCTCTCTTGTCCTTGTTTCATATGAATCCAAGCGCAGAGGGTCAAGGTTGGGACTCCTGCAAAATCAAAATAGATTAATTGCTAGGCTCGATATTAATATAAGAATTCAATTAATGTGGAGCGTACCCAATTGCTTAACAGGTTTTATATCTGATAGACTAGGATTTCAACTGAAGTCGATGCTCATTCAACACGGAGCCACTCTCGGTTTCGTTAGAATATGCAATCTTTCTTCTTCCCATATACTTGCTATGTGTTAATGTGCGATATTTTTATACGCGCTTTTAGACTCATGCAGAGGCGTTAGTGGGTGTTGATATGTAGGTCCATGTATGTCCATGTCTCGGGGCCCGCTAGCTCTCTTCGCCAAGACCCGGGGCAAGAAAGCTTCCAAGGTTTACTTCACGTGACACTGACCAATCATCCGAGCCACTACATCACCGGGAGGCTGTATAATACAAGAACCAACTTAAACCAGCTCCTCTATCGAACATATCGCACCAATGCATTCACCATCGCCACAGCTCCTGCGCGTCTTGCGCACCTCTCTGATCAACACCCCTCGCACCTCGAATTTGACTCGATTCTGCCAAATCCCATCAGCAACCACAGCACCATGTCTCGTCTCAAATCCCAACACCGAAATACCCTCAACACGCCGAAACTATAGCTCACCCGTCCGTCCAACCCGCATGATTTCTCGCTCGCATGCACACAAACCAGTCAGCCACGACCGCGGCCCGGAGTCCAAAGAAGACACCCAAACCAATTTTGATGCGTTGAACGTACTGGGCAACATCCCTGCGCCAACGACGGCCATTGATGCATGCCTCGATTCCGGGTTCCATCTTAACAATGGCTTCAAACTCACCAACGGTGATGGGTTGTTGCTGGTCGGCGGTGAGGCATTTGCGTGGCGGCCGTGGAAGGCTGTCGAGGGCGCGGAGAGCGACCGTGTCGCTAAGGATGCTATGCTCAATGCTAAAGGGCAGTTTGAGCTTGATGAGTCGGTCTGGGGGTTGTTGAATCTTGTCTGGCCAAAGCCTGGTATGTTGGCTCCTGCCTTTTGGTTGTGTTTTTTTTTGGTCCCAGATATGTGCTTTTGACATACTTGGGCTTGACCGCAAAGTCACACATCGATTTGCTAACAGTTCCACCACAGATATGCTCATTCTTGGTCTTGGTGGCTCGATTTTCCCGCTCTCACCTGAGACTAAGCGTCACATCAACTCGTTGGGCATTCGAGTAGATGTCCTCGATACCCGGAATGCGGCCGCGCAGTTTAATCTGCTTGCTACGGAGCGTGGTGTTACTGAGATAGCTGCTGCCATGATTCCTATTGGGTGGAAGGCTAGACCTCTCTAGGGATGAATAGGGTTTGCTTGAGAAATGACATGTATTATATAGACAATTTGAGTATATATGGCTTAGGCCAATTCAAAATGAAACAATTCTTCTCCTTACATTCTTCGGTTGCACGAAAGGGCAGGTGTAGTTCTTATCCGTTGCATAGTTACATGTTACCCAACCTCTTATGTAGGGCTGTGATGCAGGAACGTGACCTTGGGATGTATCATGTGAGCCCTGTTATCTTATCCTTATCTCCTCACCTCCGCCCCCAGGGTTCAGGGTCCACGTGAGTCAACACAACCTTCCAAGGGAAGGTCAAATCGAAGTTTTCGAGCTTGTATATCCTCTCTCTTTTCCGATTTTGTCTTTACGTTAGCTATGGCGCGGGAAGAGTCCCTCCTACCTCCGCGCCTGTCCTCCGATGACGGCTCGTCGATCCGAAATGAAGAGGACTATGCCCTCCTAACTGGCGAGCGAACGGCCCCCCAAAGCAAGCGACGAGTCTGGCCTTCCTGGCGGGAAATTGGAGTGTTTTCCTGGGCCCTTATTGCAACAATCTTGGTAATTGTGTTGGCCGTGCTCTACCCACACAAGCCAGCGGAGCCTCACGACCATCATTCGTCAAATACAACCTGGGGCCCTGGAGGCAAGCCGACGGGCAAGCGGAACCTGATCTTCATGGTTTCTGACGGCATGGGCCCTACTAGTCTCTCGCTGACTCGAGGCTTCCGGCAATACACACATGATCTGCCATTCGACGACATTCTGGTGTTGGATAAACACTACATTGGGACTTCGCGCACACGGTCAAGCTCTAGCTTGGTCACAGACTCTGCGGCTGGGGCGACGGCTTTTTCTTGCGGTCGCAAGAGCTACAATTCTGCTATCTCGGTGCTTCCCGACCACTCGCCTTGTGGAACTGTGCTCGAGGCGGCTGCGTTGGCTGGCTATAAGACGGGTCTGGTTGTGACTACTCGCTTGACGGATGCGACTCCAGCATGCTTCGCCTCCCATGCCAATCTGCGCAACTACGAAGATCTGATTGCCGCGCAAGAAGTTGGAGAACACCCTCTCGGCCGGGTAGTAGATCTTCTTCTTGGCGGTGGACGGTGCCATTTCTTGCCCAACTCGCAGGCTGGTAGCTGCCGTGGTGATGATCACGATCTGGTCAAGGTTGCTGCTCAGAATGGGTTTGGTTATATTGATGACCGTGCGGGCTTCGATAGCCTTAAGGGCGGCGATAATGCCACTTTACCACTGCTAGGTCTCTTCGCTAGCGGGGATATCCCATTCGAGATTGATCGACGTACTCAAAATGAGACATATCCCTCTTTGGAGGAGATGACTCGCACTGCCTTGAAGGCCTTGAGCAAGGCCACTGAGGACAGCGAGCAAGGGTTCTTTGTCATGATCGAGGGCTCTCGCATCGACCATGCCGGCCATGGCAATGATCCTGCCGCTCAGGTTCACGAGGTACTGGCATATGACAAGGCCTTTGCTGCCGCGCTCGAGTTCTTAGAGAATGACTCCACTCCTGGCGTGATTGTGAGCACATCTGATCACGAGACCGGCGGTCTTTCCGCAGCACGCCAGCTGCACAAGACCTACCCTGACTATCTGTGGCTTCCGAGTGTCCTGGATAAGGCAAGCCACTCTGCCGAATACCTTGCCGCTCAACTAAAAGAATATCTTTCTGGGCCGGGCAAGGACGCCAAGGATTCAGATAAACAGTCTTGGGTCCGGCAAGCTCTTAAGGATGGGCTTGCCATTGATGATGCTACAGACCATGAACTAGATACCTTGCTCCACCCAGTCCCCGATGTCACTGCGGCATATGTGTTCGCGGACATGATCAGCCGCCGCGCCCAGGTCGGTTGGAGTACTCACGGACATTCTGGTAAGATAGTCTCGACCAGTGACCTATGACAATATGCTAATTTCGTTATAGCCGTTGACGTCAACATCTACGCGTCGTCTACCAAGCACGCTTGGCCATTAGTTGGCAACAACGAGAACACGGACGTGGGAGACTTCCTTGCTGACTATCTTGATCTCAATGTCGACAACGTCACGAAGTTGCTACAGGACACCAAGTCTGGAATCTCACAATCATACGATTGGATGGGTGATCGCCTTGGCTTGAACTTCCATACCGAGGGACTAGACACTTACCATGGAGACTTCAGGAAGCGATCTGCCGATGATTGTGGATGTGGTGCTGCACACTAAACGACAGCCACCACTTGGCATTTTTCCTATTCTGTTGGATTTCTGTATTAAGCAGCACTGTGGATATTTCGGGGTTTCATCATTGTCATCATCATCACCATCATCATACATACTTATATGCAATCTGATATCTCATTTCCTCGAACATCCGTGTACAGCTGACACTGATCTTGTCAAACACACATTGGTATTATGAGTGCTATTCCCTCCTTGGACTTCAAGATCACACAGTAAAATCGTCTTCAATACAATTGCATAGTTACATGTCACCTCATCACCAAACACCCTTACCTCCCAAAGCACAAATTGAAATCACAATGCTTTCGCTTTACAATCAGGGCAGTCCTCCACCAAATCCATCATCTGGTGCACGATATTGCTCTCTGAGATGACACTCATATAACCCACACCCGGACGAAGGGTGGCTGATCTCATTGTAATTGTGTATGGCTGGCAGGTAGGACAATCAGGGTCGAATGGCAAATCGTAGTCCCTACGCTGGTCCGGATCGTTGATGCGGTTTAGTTGGAGGAGGGTCTCGCGACAAAAGATGTAGAGCTCGAAGCACGTGTGCTTGCAATTGGAATAGTGGGTCTCCACAAATAAACACATGTTGGTCCAGCTTGCGTCGATAATACACGAGGTTGATTGCTCTATATTGGTGCGGTTCGAGGTAGAATGCCTGTTTAGCTTGTTGGTTGGATCCACTCTCCGTGGATTCTCGGAAGGATTGTTGATTGTGATGTGAGTCTCAAGTGAGCTGTGTAGTTTGAGACTAGCTAGTAAAAAGGCTTCGGTTGTGATATGGCAAATCAGACTTGTGGGTTGAGTGAGATGCTGGATAACTTTGCGTTAGAACATGTCCCAAAAACTGAGTTGGAAATCCGTATACAAAGAAGCAAGAAGTTGCGCAATGATAAAGTAATACTGCCCTTGATAGAGCACCGTGAATAATGCTAGGCCATGTAGCGCTGTGACAATGAAGTAAAAGTGAGCTGAAGCCCAAGCCTTCTATGTTGCTACCCTGTTTACTTCACAGGAAAGAATTAGTGGACTTTACCTATCTACATAACTTTGTTTAGGTCACTCATGAAAGGGGTGGTTGTAAATTATGTATAAATTCTCAAGTACGAGACAAAGGACAAAGACTTTATTAGGAGTAAACAACATTGCTGTAAATGGGAGAGTATGCAGTGCGGATCATATGTTCTACAGATGTCAAGAAAGAAAATGGAAGGATTATTATGGAAGGCAGCATGGTGAGATAAATGCTAAGAGAGTCTGAAGTCAAACATATGTGGCATAGACAAAGCCAAATACTAAATGCCACAAGCGGTGATAGATTCCAATGTTCTTATCCGTGGGAATCTAGAGCATCATATGAAACTATCCTACATGAAAAGTACTCCCTGTTTTTGCTCAACTGGTGTTATACCCTTGTGGTCCCATTCTCATATCGAAGCAATAAAATACTTCGATAACTATTTCCCAGATTGGTATGTAGTTATATACTGAAATAAGAAATAGAAAGGCTGCTTAATGGTAGCTGCATCTCAACATAAAACCGCTATATGGCCAAGGGTCTTCTATGATGAGAGAATTGACTCCATCTATAGACCGCATTGTCCAAGGCGTTTCTTTAGCATAGCCTGATGGATATGGACAGACATGCCCTCTTTCTACATCCTCATCTAGGCAACCTTCTAAGATTGTAGTATAAAACTCATGTGCACAAATGTGGTTGTATCATCCCAATTAGAACATTCGAAGGTCGCGGTTAGCAATTTAGACCAAATGGTTCAATGTTTACCTATATTTGTTCGCCGCGCGTTTCTCTCTTGCTATTTGTTAACATGAAAATAGCCTTCACTTCGCCCAATCAACTTGCTTCATCGTCACCCATTTCACTCGAATATACCCTCGATATCATCGGTAAGGATCACACTCCATCAGCTGTTTGCTTTATCAGTAGATTAACTCCAAAAAGGAAGCAAACACTTCGAAAATGGACAGGTTCCTCCAGGACCCAGAGAACGACAAGCTCTTGAACGAGCACAACCAGGCTCTTGAAGCTGCCGAGGCCGTCAAGGGCATGCAATTCAAACCAAAAGTAACACGACATGAACTCTTGAAACAGTTCGAATATCGACAAAAAATAAATCAAGATCAACAACGAGGCCGAGCTAGATCCAGCACAGTGGATGTCTCCTTTGACCCTCCCATCTATCCACCATGCCTCGCTCCTTTGGAAGACCTGAAAAAGGTCATGTTCAAGGATTTGCTTCTTGAAACTCATCATAGGGGTTCTTACATCCTAGTCAGATCAATCACCGAGGCAGAGAAGATGACTGCAGTCGTGGCCATTGTGGAAGACGAAAAGAAAGATGCGATCCCGCTCCAAATGTTGAACGAGAAGCTCTGCTGCCATGATGGCTCTGTTGGTAAAGGGCATATTTTGCTTGTGAAGGAGCCATACCTGACTTTGACGTCCGTTGGCGAATACGGGGTCAGAGTTGATCACGTTTCTGATGTCTTGTTCATCCCATTGTTCGACAAGATGGTCCCGTCAGCCTGGCGAGAGCAGCTTCCAGAGGATGAAACCTCTCAGTGGATGGCCGGAGCATGGCTAAGGATGGGCAACGAGTATCTCAACCGGGGCAAATTTTACTCCGCCACTGAATAGTAAAGTGTCCCAGTAGGCTATTCAATAGCGAAGAATGCTGACCACAGTGACAGTTACTCCAAAGGATTGGAGCGTTCGCCGACAGAAGAAGAAACGCATTACCTTTTGTACTACCGAGGCCTGGCCTTCTTCCAGGTCGATGAGTGGGATGCAGCTCTGCGTGATCTCGATACCGCTCCAGTAGGTCCAAAATCCGATAAAGCCCTTCGAGGCAAAGCCCAAACCCTATACCATCTGAGAAGGTTTCGGGAAAGCTGCGATGTATTCACAAAACTCTGCAAAAAACACCCCGAAGATGTCGGTGCCAAGAACGATTTCCGTGAAGCTATTTCACGACTTGCAGAGCAAAAGAAGGGCAGATACAACTTCAAGACGATGCAGGAGAAAGCATCGAAAACCTACCCGCCAGTCTTGGACCATGCGACATGGATTGGCCCAGTGAAAGTCCGGCAAACCAAATCCCAAGGGCGAGGCCTATTCACAACAGAGGCAGTCAAGGTCGGTGATTTACTTCTCTGTGAGAAAGCATTTGAATACGCAACCGAGCACCCTAGCAGGCCAAGCTGGGGCAGCAACCTCCATGTCAATACTGAAACGAGGACGACCACCCGAGGAGGTCAACTCGCACTCGCATCGTCGATCATCGAAAAGCTGTACAAGAACCCATCATCAGCATCTGCAATAACTAACCTCCACAGTGCTGGATTCAAGCAGGTCTCAACAGGCCCCATTGATGGCAAGCTGGTGGTAGACACGTAAGTAACCAAGAAAAAAAAACCAGTCCATTCTAAATACCCCAAGCTAACAAATCCTCGTTCCTAACCCGCAGATTTCAAGTCACCCGCATAATCTCCCTCAACGGTTTCGGTAGTCCTACCTCTTCGAGAGGAGACCACATCGACGACGCACTCGATGCAAGCAAGAGCCCCGAAAGGCTGCACAACTGCGGCATCTGGCCCTACGCCTCGATGATCAACCACTCATGCATGAGCAACGTACACCGCGCCTTCATCGGCGACATGATGATCATCCGCGCAGCGACCGATATCCCTTCAAATACCGAGCTGAAAATCTGGTACCTGCTCCCCGCCCCTGAAAACCAGCCCATGGATTTCCGACACTGGGGCTTCGAGTGCTGCTGTGTCATGTGCACTGACATCCGGTCGACTGAGCCCCGCATTCTCTGGACACGGACCAGGCAGCGTGATCAGATTGCTATGGCACTGGAAAGTAAAAGTTGCGAGTACGCTGAGATTCTCATAGAGCGTCTCACTGAGACCTATTCGCACCCTCTGGAACAGGTACTGCGTCTTGGGCTGTGGGAGCCGCTCACTTTAATTGCGGCGGTTTATGACAGCCTAAAGCAGCATGATGAAGCTAGGGAGGCTGTGAGTCGGGCTCTTGCCGCGGTAGGATTTGTGATTGAGGGGGGTGTGGAAGGGCCACTCGTTGTTAAGAAATGGGGGCTTGCTATGGATAATCTTGTTGTTGCGTGGAGGATTCTTGGCAAGTCTCTACTCAAGGTTGCGCCTGAGAGGGCCATGCAGGCAGAACGGTATGCTCGCATGTCTTACATGATTTCTGTTGGAGAGGAGGCAAGCTTTGATGCAACTTATGGAATGAGCTTGAAGGTGGCTCATGAGCCTCGTTCTGAGGAATGCCAAGTGGAAGGCTGGGTAGTTTAGGGCTTGTTTGGGATGTACCAAGAGGCAAACATGGTAAACATGTACTTATGTCGCACATGAAAGGACTTACAACAAGTGGTTACGCGTACAGAGTATTGTAGATTAAGAAACTAGCATGAAATTAGGTTCACAGACTGTACCCACGTATGGCCAGTGCCCACTCGTACACAAATCGGCACAATTTTCCCGCTTCATGGTGCCACATGGCAGGATGTCAGATTTCTGACACGGTTTACTGGTCCACAGATACGCGGCATGACGCTCGTACTTCTTCTTTAAGTACTAAATCCTCAATCTAGTCCTAACTCGGTTATGCTCTAGGGCTGTGGCTTACATCTTGTTGGTCTAACGGTTGTGGGCCCCCCGGGATATCCCTCCCGTCAGTCCCGTCCTGACACTTCCACACTCCACCTTTTCCTCCCTTGTCAATTCTACCCTGTCAATTTTACCTTGTCAATCCAACCTTGTCAATTTTATCCTGCCTTTGAGAAAGTGTTGGCAATATGGTAAAAATGGAAGCAATAGATGAGATCGCGGTGGTAAGTCGTGCTTTTATAATCTGATAGGGTCATGCTCACCGCTCACCTAGGATCCCGATTTCTACACTTTGGAAGATTGCTACAACAGGGATGCGCAGGACCTTCAGTCGTGAGTGGAGTGCCATTGCAAACCATCTATGACAGTATTCTTAAAGTATTCAGCGATACCACCTCCATTGCCTCCGCGATCGCGAGGGGACGGCTAGAGAACGGCCGAAGGTCAGTATACTTCAAGTCATAAGATCGCTTCCTAATACTAACCCTGATATTGTAGATACCAAGCCATTAAAGAAGATGACTACTGGTTAGTTGCGACGAAACAACCTTTTTTTTTACATATACTAACCATATCAAGGGGTCCTTCTGACGAACAGCAATTCGAGGCTTTTGAGATTGGGTAAACTGCATCCCGTCCCCATACCTTTCATTCCTCAATAGCTAGAAAGGCTGTGATACTAACCAACTCAGCCATATGGTGTTTCTTGTGCTAGATTACGATCAGCCAAATCCTCTTTTCCGCGCCCCTATCGGCAATTCGCCTAAGGTGAATTTATACCGAGGCGATCCTTGCTCAAACGTTTCGCTAACCACGCAGTATAGAATATTTTGGACATCGGAACTGGCCAAGGGAATTGGGCAATGTAAGTCCACGAGTAAATCTTCTTAAGAGAACCTCTAACAAGTTCTTAGTGACGTTGCCGATCGCTATCCGTCAGGTACTAGATTTCTTGATTTCAACTCCTTCTATTCTTGACTGGACTCTTCTTAACTAAAAACTAATTAGCTACCGTCCGCGGAGTGGATATCTTCCCTCCGCCTGTGACATGGATGCCACCGAACTGCATCTTCGAGGTGGATGATGTACTTCGCGAGTGGACATGGCGAGAGCCCTTTGACTTTATTCATATGCGCCTAATGTACGGCGCATTCCCTCCTGAGGGATGGCGCCAGCTATACAAACAGGCTTACGAGTGAGTTCCACTCCTCCTTATTAATCGATTGTCCGAAACATCGCGCCCTAATTTCTTTTCTGTTTCGCAATAGCGCCCTGGAGCCGGGTGGCTGGATCGAACAAATGGAATTGGACGTGCGAGTCTATAGTGATGACGGTTCCTTGAAGAAAGAACACCAGCTATATGGATGGGGCGACATGTTTATTAGATGCTCTGAGCGAGCTGGACGCTCACTCAGAACCCACGAAACGATGCGCAACGCAATCCAGGAAGCTGGGTTCGTGGATGTGCATGAGGAAAAGTATAAGATTCCCCTCGGACCTTGGGCTAGGGATAATATACTCAAGGAGACTGGACACCTTCAGCATGGCCATTGGAACGCCGCTCTGGAAGGTTGGGCGATGTGGCTGCTCACTCACTATGGGGAGCCGGTGCCGTGGACAAAGGAGGAGGTGCAGGTGTATTTGGCTAAAGTGCGCAAAGAGCTGAACAATCCGCAAATTCATGCTTATGAACCTGCGTAAGTCTTCTTTCGGATTGCATCGCTGGCTTGGTTTGTGCTGATGAATTTTAGGAACCGTGTGTGGGCAAGAAAGCCTACCAAGGAGGAATTGAAAGTGAAGGCAAATATTAAGGTTGAGAGATCGCCGTAAAGCCGCGTTGAACTTTCTTGATAGGTGGATGTGGTCCTTTTTTTTTTTGCGTTCACGGATTCTGGAAGCGAAGTTTTGTGTGTTGCCGGCTCTTTTTTTGAGCTCTTTCATTTCATTTTGTGTTCTCTACATCTAAGCTTATTGATTATGCAATACTCAGGGTCATGCTGAAAGTAGAAAGGGAAAGCCATGGGGCGTAATTAAAACTGGTATACATGAACAAAAGATCACGGATTTTGTAGCTATTTTCCAGTCATGTGGGGGGGAATCACAAATCATTACCAGAGTAGCGGTACATAGCATAAATCAGAAAGGGGTTGACAGCATGAATCGGCCAAAAAGAAAACGCCGGGTAGGTGTATCAAACATAAATGGAGGGAAATTGCAGATGTGTATGCAGCCGACCGTTGAACATCACAGCCTAATGAAGGAAGAAGGGGAAAAAAGAGATACAAGGAACAAAGTAGTTCATTAGGTGATTTGTTCAAGGCCAGTCAGAGACAGACACCAAGGGAGTTGCACAATAGTCAACAAAAAAATGTACTCAATGCTGTGCAATAAGCATGGCAAGAAAGAAGAATATAAGAGAAAGGTAACAGGGTGATGTATGTATCAAACCAGCAAAAGATTTACAGCGTCACAAGGACAACAAGAGCCACCAGGACGCCGAAGAGCGATCCACGGAGGACATGCTCGTTCTGGCCGGCCGCACCGTTGCCAGTAGCGGTGCCCTGGGTGAAGCCCGTAGTGGAAGTCTCCCCATCGGTGGTGGAAGTGCCAGAGCTGGAACTACCAGAAGAAGAGGTGGTGTTGCTGGTCATGCCACCAGAGCCACCAGAGCCGGTGGGGATGCTGTTGGAGCCAGAGGCGGTTGAGCTTGACTTGTTAGCGCCGAGGTCCATGTCGAGACCGGTGGCACCGAGGGAGGCAAGGACGGTGTTATTGTTGGTGATAGAAATATCGCTCTCCATGGCAGCGGAGTTGGTGTAGAGGTAAGCCTTGCTGCCGGTCTTCTTGGCATCGGAAGGAGGATCGTAGCACTGCACGCTGACCTCACCGACGGTGGCATAGTCGTAACCAACGGTCTTGATGTCCTCGCTGTTCCAGTCGATCTCACCACCAGCCCAGTCGATGGTACCCTGGGCGTTGCTGGCCTGGCCGGCGGGCCAGAGCGACATTTGAAGGCGGGCGGGTGTCTGGGGGAACTCGTACTGCTTGGAGGTCTCGTTGTAGGTGTCGGCCTTCTTCAGGGTGCGGTGAACGACACCGTCGACAGCCCAGTCCACCTTCTCAGGGGTCCAGTCGATCTCGTACGTGTGCCAGTCATTGAAGGTATCCTCGCCATCCACGGTGATGTTGCCGCTGTTGTGCCCTAATTCATCCAATTAGTATTATTATTCAGATCGGATCAGACTTGTCTCAACTTACAGTCCAGAACACCCTGCCAGTAGTAGTTGGTCTGCACGGCGGTCAAATCGGCACCGACCCACTCGTAGTCGATCTCGTCCTTAACATCGGACAGAAGAATGAAAGCAGTCACGACACCCTTGCCGCGGGAACTCTTAAACTTTCCAGAAATCTTGCCGTACCAGATGTAGTGGTTGTTGGCGAAGAGAGTACCGACACTCTTGGCGGGCATAGTCATGATCAGATTGCCATCTTCGGTCTTAACCTTTCCGCTGTAGGTCCAGTCGGCAGCGCTGGCATTACCCAGGTACTTGTCCTGGGTGACAGCATTGTCGAGGTTGTCCCAGGTGTAAGTCTTGCTCTCACAGACGGGCATAGGCGCGCAGGAATCGAGGGAGAACGAAGCTAGAGGGTCGCAACCACCGAGGCAGTAGGCACCAGTACCACACTCACCATATTCTGTATTGGATACTCGGTTAGCTATGAATTGCAATCTTAGGGGGTAAATATCACTCACGGGAGCAGCAAGGGTATTTCTCGTCGCACTGGCTGCTGGAGCTGCAGGATTGTGCGGCGAGGGCGGTCACTGACAGCGAGGCCAGGACCAAAGGTGTCACAAAGCGGACCATTATTATGTATACTGTTGGTATATACAGTGGGAACGACAGAATATCCAAGAATTTGAATCCAAGCCACAGGAAATGAGGGAAAGTGTGGGGAAGCAAAGAAAAGGGGGCAACAATGCAAGTTAATGTGATATAATGTGATATAAACGAGAGGCAGCAAGTGAAGACAAATCCACTGCAAGGGCGATAATTATAACAGCACGAAGGCAAGTTCTCGCTGAAGAAAGAATGAAAACGGAACCCTGGAGGGGAGGCGAATAGTTATTAATATGATATTCCCCTCCCACGGCTCTGAAAACATGAAAACATGAAAACGTGAAATTGACAGAAACTAACCCAATCAGGATGAACTCCGTTCAATCAGGGAAGGTAGGGTCCACGGGTCGGAGTTAAAAAGGGTCAATTTTCTAATTTTCTAACCAAGGAATGGTTCTGATTGGCTGATGGTCCCTTCTATTTATTTATTTATTATTTTCTTTCCCTTTTCCTTTGTGGAGTAGTTCGGGGGATTTCCGTCCGTGCATGGTATTGGGATGGTAATGGGATGGTATTGAATGATCATTCGGGTATTTTAAGGGTCGTTTTAGGGGTCACCTCTGAACAGCTGATGATCTGACTCAGGTGATAATAGCCTCCCCGGGGACCGTTTAATGTGGTATGACAAAGAAAGAAAAAAATAGATACCTCTACAAGGTAATTTAGCCAATTCAACCAATCCTAACGTTGAGTCAAATTAATTTATCGCACTCAAAATACACAATCTATGACCGTTTAAAACTGAGACAGCCCCAGGTGTTTGCAGTCGGAAATTGGTGTAAATTGGACTGGATACAATACTAGCGTAAGCATGGGTACTTTTCCACTTTCCCTTTATCTGCGGAGATAGCACTTTACATTGATCTGCAGTTGAAACAATATCTAACTAGTTAACTACTCCGTACAAGGTTCAATGTGGTACTTCATATGTACTATACCTACTCCGTAGTGAACAGTGCAATTTAGTATACCATGTCTGATGTATATTGTGAGTTGTATACTGTGATACCCCTTTAAATGGGTCTTCCGACGTCCGTTCACTAGGTGTCTTAAGCCGAACCAATTAGGCAGGCCAAAAATAAATGTGACCATTAGGACAAAGAGTAGGAATCAGCCCCAAAATTCGATAATCTTAATCCTGCGCGAGTCTCGCATTAGGCTACCATGGGCTTCCAAGAGTTCTCGCTACGCTCAATTTTCTCAATTTTCTCTCTCGGCGCGCTCGGCACCAAGCACTTGTATTCCGCACTAGGAAGCTCACTTTCGCCCCCAAGACTCTCCAAGACTTTTACCAGTAGAATCTCCTCTCTCCTGCCTATTACAACGGTAATCCCAAACTATCTAACCTTATCTGCCTCGGTTATTAGCCTCGTCACCAGGCACCGGCAGACACACCAAGCACTGGGCAGGCACGCAGATCACTAGTGTCGGGCATGGGCGTAAAATGACAGATCGTGGTTCTTTTGCTCCATTCTCGTTCTCGGTTATGCGTTGCTGAGTGCGGCGATAGGGGCAGCTGATAAGAGATAAGCAAAACCCTGATTAGGTCATATGTATCATATGGATATTTTTACACCCCTTGGCTAGCATCTGGTTGTTTTCAGAAGGTATCCTTCTAGAAGGAATGTGGCAATCCTCGATCTACGCATACATTACACACACATAATTAGATCTACCCCGTACAATATCTTGAGTGTTGTTATGTATGCTGTACACTTTGGAACCCAAGGGATGTGGTACGGGGGGATGTAAGGGGATTTGCTTATTGGTTACTTTTTCTACAATCAAACTGGTTTTTATCAGACATGTATGATGGATGACGTTGTCTGATTTAAAATATGCAACATGTAACACACGTTTTATCCAATTATTATGTTGAACTTCTGCGTCAAATTCCACAACCCAATGTGTTGAGTTGCCTCTTCTAACTTAGCGCCCTTATACATACTCCATAGTACATACCTGTTCGCACTCAAGTTAACTATAGATCTACGTTTAGATGTTTATAGTGTTTTTTTAATCATGCCCTCCCATTGACAACAACAAGGATAGAAAGTAAGCAAGGAAGCACGGGTAGCCCGCATGAAAAAAATATATGGCTTACAGGCGAATTCAGCGCATTAATCCTTTATGTAGGACAAGTATCGGAGGCCAATACCCATTTTATTTCTAATTCTTCATCTCCGTGGATACTCTTATGAGCTATGAAGAATGACTTCTCCGGGAGCACACCCATGCATTGAGTTACAAACAAAAAACAAAGTAAAAGAACCAAAAGAAAATTTCAAATGTGCTCCACTGCCATGATAAATTCCAAGTCTGTTGATCGCTGTCTAGCCGAATCAACAAACTTCCAGCTGGTCTTTTGGTTCTCTGGGAACAATTAGAAATGATTCCATGGCAGCCACAATCCCTGGCAGCAGTTCAACAACTGCCGACTCTTCATCGAAGTCTACAAGCACACCTTGCGATGGTGATGTGGTAGTAATGGATTTGGCGGGCTTGGTGCCATTTGTCTTGTCATCTGCAAAAGTAGGGGTGCTTGAACCCCTACACGTCTGGATCGAAGTAGATAGAGTCGGTACACCCTGGATTTTCCTAGCGGTGCTCCCACAATTTGGTGTCTGACTCTCCGTCGCTGACTGGGGCTTGTAGTTGCCATTACCGGGCCCACGGGTGAATCATCCACGATTATGATGATTGCCACGTCTCGGGCCGGTTGGCGGTTGCTATCAAACGTGGTATTAGTATGAAATGTATGTTGAGTTCGTATGAATCACTTACAGATGGAGGAAGCCGTGCCTCGGGGGGCGAAGGTCGAAGACGGTTATCTTCAAAAACCATGACAAGGGCACATTCAATCTGACGAAGCTCAGCGCTCAACTCCGCCTCGTTATTTCTGGCCATCTGTATGTTGATATTGTTAACATGATTTAGCGAGACCGATGTTGCTAAGAAGATACGACTTGCCCATTGGTGGCTCTCGCGGACCAGATATCGAGCCCTGGTCACTTTTTTCAGGACTTGTTGAGTCCAATGGACCATTGATCGATCCCACGGCATTGTGTTGGGAGAAAGACAGAATATGAGACTGAGGGTATGAGTATCTGACTGCTAAGCAGTCAAGCTGAGAGAAGTGGGGTGTAGAACCAGGAGTTGAGAGTGAGAGGTTTCAGTAGTGAGATATATGTGATTAAGATGCGAAGTTAAAGTATGTGGACGAGGATCAAATAAGATGAGACTAGCTAACGAGGTGAAGTGGGGTTCTGTGCAAAGAAATGAAAGTTGAGATGGCGATAAACATAAGATCAGTGGTGATGGTGCGAAGTAAAGGTCAACAAAGATCATAGTTATCGTCCGAGATGCAGCAGGCAGGAGATTATGCAGATGCTTGATATTAAGAGGCTAGAAATAGGATGCGCAATGTGACGTATATACTAGTTGTACCGACTAATGATAATAAAATCTATGGATGCTTCCAAGATCATAACTTGGGGCTATGGACTACATGTAGGTAGGTATAAAAAGTCATGGGTAAGAAGAAGATGTTGGGCGAAAGATGCTTGACAACACAAGGGCATAAGCATTTGAGTAAGAGGCAACAACGAATAAATAGAGCCCATGATGACATCTACAAAACTGCATTGGTGACGAGACTGTGAGACCGAGGTATAAAATGGGCATTCTTTAGATCTTCCCTCGACCTTCTCATCAGCCATCGCCTTCTACTGCATGTATCTATTCCAAGCAATACCTTGAACGCCTGCATGATTCAACTTCAATTCCTCACTCTTCATTTCATTCCACACCTTCTTGCCAATAGCTTCAACACTTCCCTGCAGTTCCTCGGCTGAGCACCCACCAACTACATAGCTTGATCTTCTGATTACACCTTTACTTCCGCATAACTTCATGATTCTTTTTCAAAATGGCAGCCCGAACATTGGACAGAATGCGCAAGGCTCAGTCTCTCATCCGCGAATGTCATGACTGGGTAAGTCATAGTTATTTTCGTCAGTTTCACCTCAAATTTTGCTGACTTTCTCGATGAACAGCTTGTGGAGCAAAACGAGATGCTACTAGCAGTGGAGATGTGTCAAATAGAAGGCAGCCTTGCACTTCTTTTTGAGAAAAGATGTTTTGAAAATTCGCCATGTCCTGGACTTCAGGAGGAGGATCTTCCCCGCCTTGTGAGTACTGAGTACTCCATGCCAAATAAATTCGCTTTGAATGCTGACATTATGTCAACAACAGCCCCCATTTAATGGCTACCGGCGAAGAAACGGCCGCGGATCCTACAACGGCTACCGCAGAGTTCATCCAGCCAACAGGGGCGGAACGGAAGCCTCCACAGGTCGCGCCGGCGGCGGACAAAATTTCCGGGCTCAGATAACAGCAAGTACCTCTAAGGGTATAACGAGCAAACCGATTTGCCCTGATGCCAACCCAAAGTCCCATCAAGCTCGAGCTGCCGTGACAGGAGTATCGCCACCAACAGGTGTGCTCTTGGATTTCAACGACGACGTGGAATTCGTCCAACTGCCACCAAGTGTGCTAGCCAACATGGAAACAACACAGACACCCGATCTTGGATCAAAAGAAAAGGAGCGCTCAACAGGCTGGTTCGCTACCTACAGCAGCAATCAACCAGCTCCGGGGGTCGAGGTCCGGCTGGACGGTGATGATATTTACCGGACCATTCCCCACACGGCCCACGCTGCCCCAGCAAATCTAGATACCCCTATCAGCAGTAACTGTCCTCCCCCAGCGATTGAAGGTGTTATCTCAGTCTCGTCCCGGCCAGATCTGCCAGGTTCGCCCGCATATAACATCCTTGAGGACGGCTTTCCTCATGCCTCAGAAAATGACCAGCCAGTGAACGAGACCAACGAGAGCAGACAACGGGACTCCAAGAATTGTGAGGAGTCCCCTGTGTTGACCACTACAGGAGGTGTCACCGAAGGCATGTTGATTAATCTTGACGACGACCTGGCCGTCATCCTTCCAGCTGAAACTGACGCCGGCACCGACAATACTATTCATCCAGAAGAAAAGGATGCTCTCGCGACTGGTCTTGATTCCGGAGTTGAGCACAATAATCAACCAGAGGATTTGGAAGATGATGAGATTGTTTTCCAGGGAAATGCAGCAAAGATCCTCGGTCCGAATTTCAAAGCCTTGTTTGTCAGTTCAGACGATGACTCTCAAACCTCTCGCGCTATTGATCTCAAAGCGATTTTTAAGAAATATTCTGAGGTGGTCATCTGTAGATGACCAACTCCCCCAACTTTTTATTTTGTTTCTGCATGGGTTTCTGCATGGGTTTCTGCGATTTATTGCTTTTGTTCCACACTACGTGAAATGTGAAAAGCCAAAAAAAGACATCCTAGGATGACCTTGAGGCTTGTCCTTCTAATTTTCTAGCAGGGCAGTTTTCCTTTTGCTCCTGTTTGTTGATTTTAGCATCTTGTGTGTACTGCTCCGAGCATCCTTAGCATATCCAGGTGCTTGTGGGATGAACATTCCATGATTTCTATGGTTTATGATGAATGTCATGTTCTTTAATACATCTTCGGCTCTTTTATCCCCTCGGCTGTTCTTATTTGTAGCTTATATCCTGTAGTAAATTGCCATCGGTTATTCAGGCATTATCCATGTTGACCAACGCAAACCATGACACTGTCTATCATAAAGGTTTGTATTTAGTAGAATGGATCAATCATTCTAATTTTAATTCAGGAAACACGACGTAGGAAAGTGGAGTGAATTCTTTAGATTTATTAAGGGAGATCTTTGTTATTATTTGACTACTAGGGAGACCGGGGGAAGGATGAATCAAACCAAGGAGTCTACCCAGTATGATGGACCGTAAGAGGCATCATTTATAAGATCACCAAGTAAATACAGTTGAAAGGATACGAGCCAACAGCGTGAAGATCGTGAGACGACAACCCGAAACAGTATAAGATGGACACACAGAAAAGAAATCCAAGCCTTGTGAAATACATAGAAGCCGAAGACAGAGTATAGACAGTATGCTGAGTGCGTTAGCTATCAAAGCAGCCGCCATTGTAACTGGGCGGGAGTGGTTGATGCCTATTGTTTTTAATCCAGCGTAGAGACTGGTGGCAATGAATTATCATATATCTATAGCATAAAGCGTGTGGTTCTCAGTCAATGGGCTCAAATTCTGCAGGCTGGACAAGGCGATATAGATATAAGATTGACTATGGCAATACCAAGTAGAATAGAAACCTGGGGGTGGGTAGGAAGAGTATAATCGCAACGAGAAAGATGCAGCAGATCATGATATAATGTATTATTGGGCTCTTTATCTTCATCTCAATGAATGCTCTTACGCGACCTCAAACGGGTTGAAACAATGTGCTATAAAAGATGTTAAAAGGGGTAACAAAGACTACAGAAAAGACATGACAAAGATAATTGTAAATATGAAGTTGAAATTGCCTTTCTGACTTCCAAGACTAGAAATATATGGATTGTATAGGTGTGATGTGGTTTTATGTCCTAGAAACTGGGCGTCGCCTGTATCTATAGAAAGAGATAGCATGGACTACAAGACCTTCACCTTTGCAGTCGAATAAATTTTTATGTTTAATTGTAGATACACCAGAAATAGATAGCATCAAGGACCTTAAAATACAGCAAGAAATGTCGATCGAATCAGATGTGCAGCATTATGTCGTAAAAGATAGAAGATAGTCCAAGAACACTGAGTATTAAGGAAAAGAAACAAACACCATGTAACTCGTAGATGCCTTCAGTCTTTTAACTCCGGCCATGCTTGACCTGCCCACGGGCTAGACCCGAAACCCCACCAAAATGTAAAAACAAAAACCAGCAGCCTGACACGAGAATGGAATCCGAAAGCGAAAAAAATTGTCCTGGTAAATTCAAACGCCGAGATCAGGTAACGATGGCAAAGTAGAAACTAGAAAATAATGAGCCTAGAAATTAATAACAGGAAAAGATTAGAGGCATACATTATGTGCCAATAAATGTATCATGCAACTTGCAGGATCGGGCGTCACGCCAGGCGTCGTCGTGGAGGAAGAAAAGGTAACGGTATTGAAACCAGGGGAGGGATGTGCAGCAAAAGGTTCAAGGTGCGTATGGGTTGCTTTTTCATCGAGGAAACTTCTTGTTCGGGGCGACAGTTTTAAATTCGACTCTCGGTTGGTAATGGGCAGCACCGCCGTCCTCAAGCCAGGGTCCGAGATTCTTGCATTGACTGACATCGAAGACCTGGAGTTGATGACAGCCCTCCGCAACAGCCTCGACACCTACTCCAGTCACTCGAACACAGCCACGGACTGATAAATGTCGAAGAGAAAGTAGGTGAAGACCGATACTCCTCAGGGAGGGATCAGAAATTGCGGAGCCGCAGAACGCCATGTTGAGATACTTCAAATTTGAGCACTGCAAGGCAAGGACTTCGGTTGCCGTATCTGACAATGCGCAGCAAAAAGTCTGGTGGGTATTAGTAAATCATGATATTTCACTTTCAGTTTGACGTAAACTCACCAGATCTAATTCCTCCAGGTTTTTGGCCGCATTAGTCAGGTGCACAATGGCGTTGTCCGTCAAATATGTGCAATCCGCCAAGCAGAGCTTTCGCAGGTTGGTGAACTGAGCATTTCCCCAGTATTTGAACCCTTGATCTGTGATTGTGGTGCAACGAGTCAAATCCATCTCCTCAATCCGACCAGCGGCGTGAGACGCAATGTGATGCATAGATCGATCGGTGACATGTTTGCAGTAAGAGAGTGTGAGTTTTTTCAACTTCGGACAGCCATACACTGAGCATTCTGCTGTCTGGATTGTGGGTTTGATCGATGACTGTTTCTCGCCCATCTTCTGGTCGGCGGGCACTACCCATCCAATGATCCGGGCGAGAAGTGTATCTCCGACCTTGCGGCAATTGCTCAAGTCTACCTCCTGTATATTTGTAGCTTTGCTGGACATGTCAAGGATGGCAGAGGCTGTGACATCCCACACACTCTTCATCTTCCACACAGTGGTATTTGGGGCGCAAGTCGTGGCCAATGCCGTGAAGCCTTCGTCGGTGATATGAAAGCAATTGTTGATATTGACCGATCGAGCTCGATTACCAACAAAGGGACAGATGATCTTAACAAGAACGTCATCTGTGATCCTGCGGTTGTAGACGCTCAAATTTAAATCATGAATCACGTCCGCAGATTTGGTCAAGAGCCCCGACCAATGAGACGACACCGCCCTAATGCGAAGAAGGTGGTGGAGCTCAAGGAATTGGAAAATGTTCAGTAAGACACTGTCCGGGAGTAACCCATTGGAGCCGTCGATCCGGGGCCGTTCAGTCTGATATGACTTGGAGAAACTGGCAGTTTCGGGAAGGGCCATGGTTGAAGAACTGGCAGAGCGCGGCTCAGTAGGAGATGAGCGCTGCTGCTCCCCTGATATCTCCTCGGGAGCTAGAGGTGCGAGCGAGCCGCGTCGACTTCGCATCCGGACTTTATCCAGACCAAGGCTGAAGTATGGGTCGGGATCAGAGGGCCGTAATACATCCTGGTCTTGGTCTTCAACGTGCGAGGACTGATGTGGTCCATCCAGTTCAGTTTCAGTGAGAGTAAGTAGTGGCATTGACCGTCGACGGGATGATGTGATCTTTACTTTGTCGTCAAGGGCGAGATCACCAATAGATGGTTGCGGGTCCTCATCAGACATAACAACATCTCCATCGGCTGCCGCCTGGAGCCTTGCTTGGGCAGTGCGTTGGACTTGTTCCCGCACGTCACTTGGGCATTTCTCCCAGAATTCAGCAAGAACGTCACCACCAAGCATCAAACATTCAACTGAAGTCACAGATCGAACTGTGGCGGTTCTCCGAGGTGCTAAATCTAAGCTGACCACCTCACCGAAGTACTGGCCTTGCTTCAGCCTTGCTTTGACCTCAATCCCCGGCCGTTCAATGTGCCCGTTTGGGCTGTTTTTGCTTGCCGACGAGTGGTCTATCTCCGCCTTTTCCGTAAGAACCTCTACCTCGCCGCGAACGATGAAGTAGAGCTCACGGCCCTGAGAATTTTGTTGTATGATATCGGTAAATGGAGGGAAAGATCGCGGTTGGGCATTGAGACCAAGATAGTGAAGAATATCGGCAGGCAACCCAGAAAAAAGCGGTAGCTCTTTAAGTAGGAGACGTACGTTGACCAATCCATTTGCCAATGCACTGGAGCCATCCCGCCGACCGGGACTCGGTGACTTCCTCTTCTTGTACACAGACTTGGCACTCAAGTCACTGTCATCCTCTGCAACAGCTAGATCCTTTGAAAAGCTCTCACGCAATCTTTTTGAGCCCCTTCTTGCCGGGCCAGGCAGATCTAGTGCAGGTGCGGAGGTTTCTTTTTTTTTCTTTTCTAAAATCATCAACCGCTCCTCTGCCTCCTCCCGGATCGCCTGTTCAACCTCCGGGAAGCGAGGTAATATGTTCCGAAAGTCGTCTTTTGTCAGCACGACCAGCATGCATCGAGTCCGGGCGATAATGGTCGCAGTACGAGGACGGTCCATGAGCAATCCAATCTCCCCGAAGAACGCACCCGGCTTGAGTTCAGCGTATATACTCTCGCCATCTCGAGATGTGACCGAGACGGCACCCCGCACTAGCCAGTATATTGCCTTTGCCTCATCGCCTTCTGTCAAGATATAATCGTTGGGTGCGTGGAGTTGTGGGCGCAGGTGCTGTCCGACCTCGATCAAAAAGGATTCTGGGGTAGATTGAAACAGAGGGAAGGATCGCAACCGATCCACTAGTTCCAAGGGCAAAGCTTTGATGTGGGAGGAGGCCAAGGGCGAGGGGCGCGCGGGTCGGTTTGGGTTCATGACTGAATCGAAGGAACGTATGAGGGATACAGTGTCGGACAAGGGCGAGACGGCCTTGGTTGGACCGCCACTGGACCTGCCATGGCGACGCATTGTGATCTAGGTATTCTGAATGAGGATGTGGGATAGATTCAATTATTTCTCCAGGCATAAAAGAGGTCAATAAATCGATGACGTCGACGAAAGCAGCGTCGAACTTCGCATCGGCATCTTCAGCGCCCAATTGCTATCGCGGAGTTTAACGGACTGACATGAATATAGGGCATAGAGAAGAAGCAAAGATTTGGGGGAAAAAGGTCACGACAAGGTCGAGCTAAGGTCTTGAGGTGGGGGGCTTTCCGACTCAGCGACGTCAAATGCGGTTTCTCCACCGATCACCTGGGAGCCTTCGGAAA